TTCCCATGGCTGTTGCAATTTCTAATTATTGGTCATCTGGTTATCTCTATGATCATGCATGGACTGATCATAAAGATGTGTTTACAGGTGTATACCTGTTTCAAACAAAATCTCTTCAAAGTGTTTCATATTCAACTCAAACTGTTCGCTCAAGTGTCAAAAAAAAATCATGCGCTCCACCAGCCGAAATCATGTCGCACGCACCCAAAGCAAACACAACAATGACGTCATATTTGCCGCACACTCTAGCGGATGCATCAAGTATAAACAGGCGTAATGCAATTCACAAGCGTAAAAAACGAGAGAAAAAAAACATTTAGAAATCAAAAAATACGGAAACGATTATTTAACAGATATTTTTACAGTGTAGATGGAAATGCATTTGCGTGATAAATATTGACTTAACAAACATTAAACTCAACTCTTTATGATGTTTGCCTAGCCATGTTCACCCATTGGTTACTATCGGTTAGCAAACTAATTTCCATTTGTTTGTCTTTGTGAACTTTGAAAATATTTGCTTCACCTTAGCATGAAAACCCAGCTAATTCTTTCGTATTATATAACCAATTCTCAAATATTCGTCACAATAGGACAATTTCTGTTCAACTGTGACTTTTAGGGAAACACTGAGAAAAAGAAAAAAAAAGAAAACTTGACACCACATGCAAAACATTGACGTTAACAGGAACAGAATGACACTTGACTGGATAGCTGCTAAACAGCCTCAAAAATGATGTGAAATGAATGTTGAATCGGCACCTCTCTCGCTTCTTAAAATGTTGTTGATTCACTTCTTTCCTTGACAGAGAAAAGCTGTTATTCTTCTATGATTTCTATACAATAAATATTAATAGGAACTAGGGGAAGACCCAGATGTACAACTTTAGTGTATTTCTCATGCAGAGCTATCATTGATTTCTGTTTTATTGTGGTTTTCTTTCATTGTTAGAGCAGCTTTCAGTTTTATTTTATGAAAGTTCAGAGTATCACGTTATTCAGTTCAGTTAGTTTGGGGGTTTTGCTTCTCCCTCAAAGCACTGTACCAGTCTCATGTTACAGTAAAAAACTGGCATTTAAAAGCTCTTTATTCCCTGTTTGACATGTGTTTGGCATTCATATGAGTCAAACAGGAAAGGTAAGAGTATGAAACCACACCAACAGCTATGACAACTCAATTCTATTTGCCATACCTATAAACACCTATATCATGTTACTATAAATAGAAAGCAATTTATTTAGTTTCACTATTAATCTATATATATATGACCATGTATATGATCTTACTGGTGGGCTGAATACATTAAGAATGTGTTCACAGTTGACAGGTTAAGTTTTATTACAAACTCTGGTGTGATTAGTTTATTAGAAATAGAATGACCACTGCCATTAGAAAGTTGCGCACCTAACACTTTCACATGAAAGTTGTGGTTACGCTGATATTTGAACACTACATGGGTTATAGACATCAGGACGTGATGTCACAAGATTGCTTGGGATGTTCATTAATTTAATTTCAGTCACAAATGAAATACATCATTATTTTTATTTGGATCTTAAAAATGACAATCAACTCAAAGTGAACCAGAACAATATCATACTGGATCATTTTATTTCTGCTTTTGCTTTTGTATTACATCAAACAAACCAAAAAGACCAAAAAATAAACTAATCAATGTGAACAAACCCTAAAACACAACACTAGACTACATTTAAAAAAAAAAAAAAAAAAAAAAAAAAAAATATATATATATATATATATATATATATATATATATATATATATATATATATATATATATATATGTGTGTGTGTTCTAAAATATTTTTTTTTTACTGGATTTAACTAACTAAGAATGATAATTTACACATAATTTATTTATTTTATGTGCTCTTTTGTAGCTTTATTTTTGTTATTCTCATTTGTAAGTCATTTTGGATGCCAATATGTATGCCAGTGATTAAATGTGAATAGCATGTACAATTTAAAATAACCACTTTGTAGTGTAATATATTTAATTTGTCCTTTATTTTTGGGATGTCAAAGCTGAACATTCATCAGTCCTTAATTGTATCTTACTAAAATAAATGCAATAAATGCATGCATACATTTTAACTACCTCCAATTTTTGAGCGGATGAATAAGAACCATTCTCAGTTGATTTCTTGGTAAAGAAACGTTCAAATGTTCAACAGTTTATTTTGTCTTCGACTCCTAAAATCATTATTCTGGTAAAGGATAGTTCATGCAGGAAAATAAAAATGTATTCATTGTTTACTCACCCTCAGGTTGTTTCAATCTTTCATGAGTTTCTTTATTCTGTTCACGCCCCAACCCTTCCAAAAAATCTAACTGGAAACTAATGACATCCATAGTAGGGCTGTGCGATAAATCGATTTTATAGATTAACTCAAGTGCACTGTTAAAAAAAAAAAGTTGACTCAAAATTGAAAGGCAACTTGCTGCAGTTTTTTTTTTTAAGTTGACTAACCTTTCAACCAAGCTTAAAATTTCAAGTTAAGTCAACTTTTTTTATATAACGATTTGTTTAAATAAACTTGCTACACTCCTGTCTGGGTTCCCATAATTCCTCCTGCATTTACCATAGAAACACACAGACATCATGGCAGTGAGCAGGGAAGAACTCTGAGAAATGTTTTGCTTTATGAAATGAACACGGCAGCACAAGCATACTAGCCAAAAAAAGAACTTTAACCAATGTGATGTTGGAATTCAACGTTGCTGTTTCCGGTAAATGATGTAACCCAGGCCCAAAGACGTTCAGCACTGTAAATATTAATATTGTGATAAAACTCGCTCAATGCGCTAGCAGTCAGATGCAGTGGCCTAATGCAAATAACAACAATAAAATGTATCCCACTGGTTCAACTGATAAAACACAAAATGAAAAAGAATAAATCTCTGAATGTACACTTTATTAGGTACACATGTCTAACTGCTTATTTTTTAATTTCTAATCAGCTGATCACATGGCAGCAACTTAATGCATTTAGGCATGTAGACGGTCAAGAATATCTGCTGTTCAAACCGAGCATCAAATTGAGGAAGAACGGTGATTTAAATGACTTTGAATGTGGTCTGAGTATTTCAAAAACTGCTGATCTACTGGGATTTTCACGCACAACCATCTCTAGGGTTTACAGAGAATGGTCTGAAAAAGAGAAAATATCCAGTGAGCAGCAGTTCTGAGGGACTAAATGCCTTGTTGTTGCCAGAGGTCAGAGGAGAATGGCCAGACTAGTTCGAGCTGATAGAAAGGCAACAGTGACTCAAATAACAACCAAGGTATGCAGAAGAGCATCTCTAAAGCACAACACGTCAAACCTTGAGGCGGATGGGCTACAGCAGCAGAAGACCACACTGGGTGCCACTCCTGTCAGCTAAGAACAGGAAACAAAGGCTACAATTCACACAGGCTCACCTAAATTGGACAAAAGAAGATTGGAAAAACATTTCCTGGTCTGATTATATTTCTGCTGTGACATTGGCACGGCAGGGTAGAATTTACCGTCAACACAATGAAAACATGGATCCATTCTGCCGTGTATCAACGGTTCAGGCTGGTGGTGGTAGTTTATTGGTGGGAGAATATTTTATTGGCACATTTTGGGCCTATTAGTACCAACTGAGCATTGAGTCAATGCCAAAGCCTACCTGAGTATTGTTGCTGACCATGTCCATCCCTTTATGACCACAGTGCACCCATCTTCTTTTGGCTACTTCCAGCAGGATAATGTGCCATGTCATGAAGCGCGACTCATCTCAGACTGGTTCTAGAACATGACAATGAGTTCACTGTACTCAAATGGACTCCACAGTCACCAGATCTCAATCCAGTAGATGTAGTGGAACGGGAGATTCGCATCATGGATGTGCAGCCGACAAATCTGCAGCTACTGCGTGATGCTCTCATGTAAATATGGACCAAAATCTTTGAGGAGTATATCCAGTACCACAAAGGAACAAGGCAGTTCTGAAGGCAAAACAGGGTCCAACCCGGTACTAGTAAGGTGTACCTAATAAAGTGGCCAGCGAGTGTATGTTCTTATTGAAATGAACAGTAGAAAATAATAGGGAATAATTCATCCTTAAAAAGGTCACCTTTTTAACAATCATTATTTTACTTTCACTGTAATTTCAATAAAATGGTTTAATTGGTATTATTCTTATAAAGTTTTTGTATGCAGTTAAATTTGATCTTTAAATGACAGCTAGCAATGTTCTTGAGGATTTTTTTTTTCTTTAGCATTTTTTTATATCCTATATTATTACACAATTATAATATGCTTAATCTAATTTTATAGGTTTATAACCTTCAGCTTTACAAATGTTTTTTTGTGCGGGAAAAAATCTATTTAATCGTAAATAAATTATTTATTTTATTTATTTATTTTTTGAAAAAAAATCTTTGAAAAAGGCCATACCGCCCAGCCCTAATCTATAGGAAAAACAAATATTATTGTCAATTCAATGATTACTGGTTTTCAACTTTTTTAAAAATATCTTGATTGAGGAAACAAGTGTTGGAAGTGAAAGATGAGTAATTGATGACAGAAATTTTGTTTTAAGAGAACAATCCATTCAAATTGTGACATTTATTTATTTTCATTCAACCTAATATATCATGAGGACTGTACTGAATCTTCAAACAAGTTCATGGCTGCAAGCTTTGTTCTTGGTTTGGTTCTTTGGTTATTTATGCACTCATCCATGCAGTCTGTCTAACTAATAACAATACTAAAGAAACCGATAATTGGTATTTCATATTTCACCCTACATTGATGATAATAATCAGCAAAGACTTAACTTCTTTAGCAATAATGTGGATTTAAATAGCTAAACTCTTGCTCACAGTGTCATTTTGCTAAATGGTACAATTGTCGAGTCACACATGCTCTGATGCATATAATAATAGTGTTGCTCCTCGACAGATCCGGTTTCTCAGTTTTCACAGCAGATTCTTTTTCTTTTTGTTCAGCCATCCAGCGACAGGAACAGAGGAATTACAGAGACGCCTCAGCCTTCATCCCAGCCCACATCTGCCAAGATGTCCTCAGAAACACACACTTTGGACGCCACTCCTGCCCTTCCTGAGCTTCTAGGAGATATACCGTTCACATTAGCTCCACACATCCTCGCCATGCAGGCAGGCTTGCCCTTTGTAACCGATATCACCTTGCCTCATGACATAAATGACAAACTAGCTAACTTTCGCTATGATTTTACCTTGGAAAACTCTGTGCTTTGTGAGCCGTGACTTGCGCCCATCCTTTATATCACTAGCGCATGGTGAACTATGGTCGTTAAGATTCTCTTAAACCGCTCGCCTCTTTAATACATAAAGATTTAGCTTGATACAGAAAAATTGTGTCACTATTGGGTGTTGGGGTCAAATTAAAATCGGCCATTTAGTTAGGATCAAGATGTTATGCAGTTTCTCAGGATGTTGCACTTAATTGTGTGATATGAGTGTTACTGCCTTGATTCAACGCAATAGACAAGTATTTATAAGGTGACCTATGGCTTTACATTTTTCAAATGTGGTTACGGGTGTAAAATCTGTGCACTTTTGCATTTTGACTCTGGTCCTGTAGCATAAAATGGTATGCTGAAAGAAAAAAGGGTCTGGTTATTGTTTGAAATTACTTCAATGGCTGAATTCTAGTAGCTGAAATCTTAGTGGCTGTGTTTAAATGTTGTTGTCTGCATTGGCCTTTCTTAGTTCTTTGAAGACTGCGATTTATTGAATTTGAAAATGTTTTCTTGCAGATCATTCACTAAGACACTCTCACACCTGGTGTTAAGAGGTGCTTTTGTCAATCAGATCATAAGTAAATGAGGCAGTCGATATCTCTTTAATAGGGGTGGGGTTAGGTGAGCGTATTAAAAAGCATTGGATGCAGCACAGATTGCACTGCACCAAGTCTGCATCCAGACCCCTTTTGTAGGTATGCATATGTTTGGGCTTTTTCAAATTTAACATTTGCAACAGACTTGTGTTAGAATAAAAACAATTTAACCTTCAACCACATACGCTTTTCATCTACTTCTGAAAGTGGCCAAAATTGGACTGGTTACATTTTTTTCAGACACCAATTACACCTATTTTAGCATTGCCTTCTTATGATCTGTTTGATTAAAAACACATTGCCAGGTGTAAACAGTGCCTTAACCCTTTATTAGATGAGGAATCGTATTTGGTAACTTTGTTTACATTTATGATTTATATATATATATAAAAGTTTTGTAATAACCCTAAATGACACTCCAGGGTTTTTCAGATGAGTGTCTTAATAGCTATGTTTCCATCCAAAAATGCTTCTAAATTCATGCACAAAACAGGAATATCGCATAAAAGCCATGGCAATTAAGCAGCGTTTCCATCCAAACAGTCAAAGAGAACAAAATTGTCACTTCCTGATTAACTGGTGCCAAATATCAACATTAAAAATGGAATTCGCTGCGGTAGGGGAAGCTGTGTCAATCTTTTCTTTATTTAATAAATGACTTGCACCTCAGAAGTATGCTGACACAAAATGAACGTATGGTGAGTGCATGATGCTCTTGACAGTTCTGGATAATATAATAATATCAATATAATATAATAATGAACTAATAATATAAAAACAGTAATACTAAGATGATTAAGGTGTTTTAGAATGGCCAAAACAACAATTCAGATGTTTTACAATGTGCTCAGCCTGCTGATTTGCCTAGTCACACACATATGATCTCTTATAACAAATTCACATGACCTCTTTTAATGCGCATACGGGAATTTGTTCGGTGAAAGTGTTTCCATTGTAGTTTATGCACAGCTTTTCTTATCGATTTAAAAGTTTATCATTTTCAAAACATTTTCAGAACATTTTCAAAATGTATGCGCATCTTGCCATTTTTCGATCAACCGGATCTCCAAAATGCACATAAAAATAGGTAAATGGAAACATAGCTATTGAATACCTTATTAAACGTTAAAGGTGTCATAGAATGGAAAACTGTACATATAAGCATGGTTGAATAATAAGTAATCGATGCATGGGGATGACTTACCATTAGTTTCAAACAGTGAGCCACTGTGAAACAGAAAATTAGAGCAGAGCTCATTGCTAATATTTATGACCCATCCAAATAAGGTCAAAACAGACCATTTCATTCTAAAGGCAAGTTTTAGGCTTCTTAATAGACTGTTCTGGAGAATTTTTGGCACTTTTCTACGCCACATACCTTCTATGTAGATATCAGAGGACAATTTAACAAATTGTATCAAGGCATTCTATGGTACCTTTAAAACATTCATGATATATAGGAAAACTACTTAATAGTAAACTGTCACTGTTTAATTTTCAAGCATATTTGTAAAATTGAAGTGCTTCAATATAAATCATATTTTAAACATACACATCATAAAAGTATATTAAAATAGCAATCACAGTGGCCTTTTGGCTAGTTCATTATAGTTACAGTAACTCTACAGTTAAGACCCAGTAAACCTTATGGTAACATTCCAGGATTTTTCTCCATCTAGCAAGACTTCTGTGCTGCTCAATAGTTTGAATTCCCAGTCTTCAGTTTATGAAGTAAAAGTCTAGATCACTAAATGGAGAAAAATCCAAGAATGTTTTAAAAAACTTTGATTTATTTTCATCTGATGAAGAAAATCTTGGTTGATGGGAGAGTCTAGTAAAACTATCAGGAAAATGACATTTTTTTTAAGTGAACTAATCCTTTAATGCATGATGTTTTGAACATCCATTTTGGGAGATGTATTCTGAACAATGCTTGATTGCAAAAACATGCACACTGGTTTTAGAAGGATTTACAATTCTGTCTGAATAGACCATGTGGTTATTTAACTTGTTCCTTCTTTTCTGTTTTAATTAATTTGTGGGTTTTATCATAATGCATGCTGCTATTTGCACAATGCACTCAGGAGTTGAGCTGTGTTTCCTTGACATTTTCTGTACTTTATTTTATTAACCTGATATCACATCAGATCTTACTATTATTTAATTGTATCACCAGCTTTATCTCTTTATCTTAGTTCTGTCCTATCCTTTTCAAAACACTGTACTGAAGTTTTCAGTTTTGTTGTGCTGTGTTCGCCCTTTAAAAGTGAAGTGTCTGAAAAAATAATTTAATGCCACTTCTTCAGGTGAGATTTATGCTCTAACTTTATGAATTTCTGTTTGATTCATTTCTGGAACACAATTCTTCTAATTCGATCCCATATGATATTTATGGTCAATTCTGAACATGAGCAGAGTGTAATATAATGTTGTTTAAATAAAGTCCTGTTTGATTACATTGTTGTTGTTGTTTTTTTATTTGCTATTATGTATGTTTATTGTATTATTTAAGGGTTTATCACTGATTTATCTTTTTTTTTTTTTTTGGACTTTTAACCTTTTTTACAAAAAGAAAAATCTATAAAAATTAAGGGTTAACCAAAGAATTTAGTTACTGTTTTGGCTGACACTTAAATTAATATTGTTTCGATAACTTGCGCCAACCTTTATGAATAATATATAGTCATTCATTTTCTTGTCGGCTTAGTCCCTTTATTAATCCGGGGTCGCCACAGCGGAATGAACCGAACTTATCCAGCAAGTTTTTACGCAGTGAATGCCCTTCCAGCCGCAACCCATATCTGGGGAAGAATTATATATATATATATATATATTTATAAGGATTACTATTTAAATAAAAAGGTAATTCACCCCAACATTACAATTTACTCACCCTCAAGTGGTTTCAAACATTTGCTTTTTTTCCTTTTGCTAAGCACTCAATCACTTTCCCTCACTTATTCACTGTTTATCAGTTGTTGCCACAGTGGAATGAACTGCCAATTATAATTGTTTTACACAGCTGATTTCCTTCCTGCCACATTACCCATACAATCTCTCATTCACACACTATGGCCAATTTTATCCAACCCAGAGGAGTGCGTGGCACAAAGTAACACTGGATAAAATGTAATACAGAGTTTTAAGGTATTTGCGTGGGGTTAACCATGGCATGCTTCCGAGGTTTTCACCACAGTGTCGGCAGATGTCTTCCTGCCAATTATTTAAAAAGTTTGGCGAAATTTGGATAAGAAATGCAGGGGAAACCATTTTTTTCTGCATAAATTTATTTTTTTTATAATTGATTTATTATTTTTTTTTAATTTGTAAAAGTATGCAAGTAAAATCTTATATTGTTGTGATTACCGTCTTCTAGGCTAAAAGATGAAACCATTTTGAAAAATGTAAAAAAAACACAGTGACTGCTAGCCACAGGTTTGAGGAAGACATGACACAGCTGGGTTAGTTGTAACAGGGTGTAACAAATAAGCCACACACTGTTAGACACCAATTAATCAAACTATTTTTTAAAATTTTGACTGTAATGTTGAAAACTTTTTAAACAGGGTGTCCGCAGGGTCTTAAAAAGTATTAAAAGTTGATAAATCTATTAGGAGATAATTAAGGCCCTTAAAAGGTATTAAATAGTCTTAAACTCGTTTTTACGAGGTCTTAAATTTTGCTTAAGCATTCTCCAAAGTGTTTGACTCCAAAAAAGCATAAATGTATTTATTTTCCTCCCAATATTAACAATGGCGTGCTTGATCCATGTGATTGGTTCAGTCCGGGGCACGTCAGGCCAAACTCCTCTGTCGGGGTGATGTCAGGTAATTTGCGATAACAAAACAAAGTAAACAATACAACTATTAATGGCCTGGTACAAAATACAAACCTCCTTAATCAGACAACTGACAAGCATCATAAACAAAATCGACATCTCAAAAATTCTTTAGAAGGATAGATTCCATTTACAATTTTAAAATCCTTTACTTTGCCACGGAAAACTTTAAATATTTTGTTTTAAGCAATTTATTTTATAGAGAAATAATGAAATAATACATTTTTATTTGAATGAAAGGGATATAGTTCTTTAATAAAAATATTCGAGATTACATTGGATAAGTGTATAACGATAATTGAAACTCCATTAACCAAAAGCTGAGGAAGACAAGGTGTTATATTATTTTGAGATAGATTACAAGACATCTGAAATATAGATTGTGGTGTAGCTTTGATGATACTATCATATTGTTTTCTGTCAAATTAATTAAATTTAGAACTAAAAGTTTCAAAAGACATTTGACGCTCTCCACATGTAGCGAAACCCTTGAGCGAAACAGACTGCAAAATGGGAAAATGTAAGTTTGCACACTCCTGGTTGGAGAAAGAAGAGTTTAAACAGTGGCTGAAGCCTGTCGCTGAAAACAACTGCTTAATTTATTCTTTTAAAGCTTTGTTTCTTCCGAGCTTATCTGAGTTCTGTTGCATGGTTGTGCTCCATTGATTTAACTACAACTGTTTATTAATGACTGTTTATTAAGTTAAAGGTTTGATACTGATTAGAACTTGAAGTGGTGATGAGGTCTTAAAATATTCTGAGAAGGCCTTTAAAAAGTCTTAAAAAGGCATTAAAAACCTTTAGGATTCTCGCATATACCCTGTTATATATATATAAAAAAAATTAAATAGAAAATATTTTTAATAGAACAAATTAATTATATTGCTAATTAAAATAATTGTATAATAATGCAAATAAATCCAAATGTTTGTATCTAATAGTTAAATAAATAAAAATGCTGTGCTATATAGAATAAAAAAGTCGAGTTATGTACTAAGGAAATATAAAAATAAACAGAACTACCCGCAGGTGGGGTAATTAGTAACATTTTTACTCATGGCACTTTTGGCAATGCTGCACAGAAACCATAGGTCCCGTGATCATATTTTCAGTGTCACACATGACGTCACATGGGTTCAACATGGTTGCACACCGGTTGCAAAAAAAGACTGGCTGCAATAGCAAACATGTTGAGTTGAGCGGTAGGATGCCAAAATCAAGTCTAAAAATATCAAACTTAAACTTTACCGTACACCACACTGCTTTTAATTGCCAACCGCAGACATCTTTGGCTAACAGGCTATCAGAAGAGCTGAATGGAGAGAGGACCTAATTAAAAATGCTGGACTCTGCAGTTTTCATTTTATATTAGGTAAGGTTGCGCTATGCTGAATCATACACACTACTCGTTTTTGATTGCAGCAATGTATGATTTTAGCAAAAACAGCTAAATATGGTTAATTAAACTTTGGACACTAAATGTTTAGAATGAAATGTAAAAATGTAAGTTCACATTCCCTGCCGTACAGGTGCAGTTGCTGTCAGAATGCAGTTGTTTTGCTTGTTGATGATTACCCAGCCCAGTCTACAATATGTAGCAACATTTTATCGGATTGCGCAACATCTCTATCTCTACTGGAGGTGCCAGTGTAAGTATGGTTATAAAAACACTATAGTATTTACTATAAATTACTGTAGTACTTTCATGTGGGTGTCTGACGACTGAAAATAGATAATGGTAGCTGATATCGCAGCCCCTGTTACTTTTTACCGTAAACTTTTTGTTAACATTTATTAATAATAATTAAGGATATATGCGCTTTCACATTCTGGTTCCAATGCCTAATTATTCATTCATTCATTTCGGGTTAGTCCCTATATTACTCTAGGGTCGCCACAGCGGAATGAACCACCAACTTATCCAGCATATGTTTTACGCAGTGGATGCTCTTCCCCATCACTGTGGAAACATCCATACACACTCATTCACACACATACACAACGGACAATTTAGCTCACCCAATCCACCTGTACCACGTTTTTTTGGACTTGTGGGGGAAACCGCAGCACCCGAAGGAAACCCACGCGAACACGGAGAGAACATGCAAACTCCACACAGAAACACCAACTAACCCAGCCAAGGCTTGAACCAGCAACCTTCTTGCTGTGAGGCGAACGTGCTACCCACTGCGCCACCGTACAGCCTCATGCCTAATTATTAAATTTCTAACATGACTATAATTAAATGTAATCTTCAGAAGAATAAAATGATGTGTTCTTTAAAAGAGTGTGATATTTTATTGTCATTCTGGCATTATATATTCAGTGGCATAAAATTGTCTTAAAATGGCAATAATATCGTTCATTTATTGATTCATTAATTTTCTGCCACTTTTCCGGGGCCGGGTCGCAAGGGCAGCAGTCTTAGGAGAGAACCCCAGACTTCCCTCTCCCCAGACACTTCCTCCAGCTCCTCCGGGGGGATTCCAAGACGTTTCCAGGTCAGCCGAGAAACATAGTCCCTCCAGGGTGTCCTGGGTCTTCCCTGAGGCCTCCTCTCGGTGGGACATGCCTGGAACACCACCCTAGGTAGGCATCTAGGAGGCATACCTGAGCCACCTCAGCTTACTTCTTTCGATGTGGAGGAGCAGCGACTCTACTCCGAGCTCATCCCGAGTGTCAGAGCTGCTCACCCTATCCATAAGAGTACACTCTGCCACCCTTCGAAGGAACTCATTTCGGCCGATTGTATCCGAGATCTTGTCCTTTCGGTCATGACCCAAAGCTTATGACCATAGGTGAGTTGCGATAAACAATAATATCATTTATCAAAATATGTTTTGGTCCAATACATCATACAACAAAAATATATACCGTGACAGGCCTAAGGGTAAGTAAATGGCAGAATTTTCATTTAAGATTAAACTATCCCTTTAATACCCAAATTGTTGCATTTCACTATACAAAAACAAGACATCCAATTTATATTTCATTTTTAACCAATTAGGCCGACTAGAAATTGGGAATTATTTCTGTTTTCACCGCTGCAGAACACAACCTTCAACATGTATGTCAGTTTGCTTTTCTTGTGTTCACTTATTCCAACAACTCAGAAGAAACAAATTCTAGGTGGTTGAAAATAATCCAACAATTAAAACCACTGCTAGAGAAACACATTTCTGTGACTGCACATTTTACCTCAAAACATAACTTCAGACACAACACTTATGTCGACTAGCCCAGTCTCAGGAGTACGTCGTCTCATGTACTTACAGTTAAGTCCGTTACGCAGAGACCATCTGCGTTATCTAGTACTGAAGCGTGCACCCCCAGATTAGTCTGTCAGTTTACAATCTTTCTAAACCAATAACAAACACGTTCTCAACCACAATCAATCTATTGGCTCTCTCTGAACCCATCATTTTCCTGAAGCCAATCATATTTTAGTTTCACCACGTAATGCACCAATCAGAGGCCATGAAAACGCCGGACACTCCCGCCCACACGGCTCAGCGACTGTACCGCCGGAGTGCCTGTCATTTGGAGTAGCACAAGGCAAAAGAGGGGTGATGAGACACACGACAGTCGGGATAACATTTCGTTTCAAACTTTTATTCTTAATTTTCTGGACTCGGATGTACTCCTCACATTTTTAAAGACATTTAGCGTCAACCAATCAAGAACCAAAACTCCGTTCAGGGAAGCTACATTGCTACATATTCTGCAAACTAACCGACATTAAAGTAACTTAAACGTCGGCTTTGTAACTAATCTCTTGAAGTTTAATTAATGACTTAAATTTAGTTAATGAATGCCTGGGAAGGAATTCAGTTGCGTATTTTGCAGTAGAACTACCACATAGTTAGGTTGAGTAATGTCAGCATCACCTGTGCATTCAGCTCGGGTCAGGCGCAGCAATGACGGGTCCCCTATCAACACCTCCTCCTCAGCATCATCATCCTCATCATCATCATCCACCGGCAACACGAGCCGGTTGCAGCCCATTCGTGCCACGGTGCCCTACCAGCTCCTGCGTGGAAATCAGCACAGCCCGACCCGCCCTCCCGCGTCCTTCTCCACTCCCTCCTCCTCCTCATCCATCTCAGTCGGAAGCAACACAGAACCGACAGCATCAGCCCAGCACAGCAACTCCACTCCCGGCAGCCCGACGCTCGCCAGTCCGGCAGGAAGCGCCTCGCTGGACGGACGGCTGATCCCGCGGCAGAGGCGCTCTCCACCGGAGCACAGGAGCTCACCCGAACGCTGCCCTCATTCACCTGTCCTTAGAGGTAAACAACAGGCCCAGATCCTTCATTTACTGCCATTCATTTAGGCATCTTATGTTAGAGTCGAGTAATTAGGTCAGGGAGTTTGTCAAGGGCTGTTTATGAAAACGTCATCCATTCTTCATTTATTTCTCTTATTATTGCATGTAAGCATGCATGACAGATATGACAGCTTTAGATGTCTGTTCATTGAATGCAGAATGCATTAGATCCGATTAGCTCGATCTGTTTATTCATTTCTGACTCATGCTTGCAGTTGAATGCGTTTCAAGCGTTAACATATATGCAAAATGCTTATAACCATGGTTTTGTGCGTAATGGCTGTGTCTCAAAACCTAGTGAGCTGCCTACACAGGCGTCGTTTTTCGTCCTTGCGTCGCGCGTCAGAAGCGTTGGGTTCCGTTCCATATGTTTATAAACGCGCACGCCCCCTGTCAGCACGAAAACGCCGTCTATGTAGCGAGCTCGCTAGGTATTGAGACACGGCGCGCGCTGCTGGTTCGGCTTCTGCTAAAGCTAGCGCTCCGTAGCTTGATAAACAGACGCAGAACTACTCGTTTTGGCGTTATCCCACTGTCCCCAGTCCCGTATGTGTGTTTCTCACGGTTGTAGCTAATTCGCGGTTGTTTACCGGGCAGGGATGGAAAGAATTACGTGCGTAATTGGAGGTTGAGTGTATGTGTGTGTGAAGGCCACACAGGGGGCCTCGTCACAAACACACAACCTCAAACCTGCTGTTCTGCTTCATAACACAGTATTAAGAAACCTAAATGGTGCAAATTAAACGACCAAAGAGATTTCTTTGGCCACTTTTAGTGTTGCCTGTATATTTAAGATGAATGAATGAGGTTAACATGTATGAATCTGTTCATTCATTCCCAGCACTTCATTATCATGTTCATATTTTGACATAATAACCAGTACACTACTTCTTAAAACAATCTATTATGTTTAACAGTAATTGTACTCTCTGTGATACAGCAGCTTCAAAATGTGTTTCAACCAAATGAAGAGATGTTCAGTTGTGATCGTTTAATATACACATGTTTACTTGCAAATGCTTTTTGGGGTTTATAGATGAAATGTAGGCAGTTTTCTCTTTACTTATGCTGTATTAATCTCGTGTCAGACTTTTAGGTTTATAGTTGTTGACATGAGCTTGTGTATGTCATGTTAGATACAGGTAAATTACTAATTTCCACCTTATTTGATTTATGATGTGGGAAGAGCACCTTATACACAGAAACTCAAAGTGCATCTCATCTATAGGGATGTAAGTAATGACCAAATGAATAATAGATATTATTATTGTATGAGTGCTACAGGGGTTGGACAATGAAACTGAAACTGCCCAATTTAGTGTTGGAGGTTTCATGGCTAAGTTTAACCAGCCTGATGGTCAATCTACATTGATTGCACATTATACCAGTAAGAGCAGAGTGGTTAGGTTTAACTGTAGAAGAGTTAACCCAAAGTTTTGCTTAAATATGGCAATGCATACAACATTATGCGTGACATATCAGAGTTTAAAAGAGGTCCAGTTGTTGGTGTGTGTCTCGCTGGCGCATCTGTGACCAGGATGGAAAGTGTTTGTGATATATCAAGAGCCACGTTATCCAGGCTAATGTCAGCATATCACCAAGAAGGATGAACTACATCCAACAGGAGTAACTGTATGCAAGAAGTAGCGGTCTGAAATGAATATCTGGGTGCTAACTGGCATTGTATCCAAAAAACATAAGGGTGCTTTCACACCTACACTTTTGTTTCGGAACCTGTCTCGTTTGCCCAGTTAGCGCGGTTCATTTGGCATATGTGAACAGGGCAATCGCGCTCTGTTCCGCGCCAAAGTAATCGCTCCGAGATCGCTTGAATGAGGTGGTCTCGGCTCGATTGAAATGAACCCTGGAGCGGTTCGATTGCAGTGAGAAAGCGATCCGATCCGAGCGCGGTTATATCACAGTGTTTTATGGATATATAATAGGCATACGGCTATATGAAGAGAGAATTATGAGTATGGCGGGAAGTTTCGTGAGTCTCCGGATGCCCGCAAACGAGTGATGATCTCCCGGTAATCTCGCGTCTCCCTCCCGGTCCTCAAATAGGCATCGTCGCGCACCCTTCTCACCCCTCGCCACCGAATCTCTCCTCAGACACGTCGCGCGCGCACCCTGTCAATCACCACCAAATCACCACCTCTCCTGACAGTTTAGCGGGACGCTGCAAAATAAACCCTGACACTCTGACCAATGTAAGGAGAGTTTACTCGCACGTGACTTGTTTTAGCTCTTTTGGTCCGATTAGAAACTTTGCAGTGTGAAAGCGAACCGCTCCAAGAGCAAAGAGCAACAATGTAACAATTGTAATCTCTGTTTCGGAACAACTCAATCGATTCACAGGTGTGAAAGCACCCTAAGACTACAGCTGCCAAACTCATTGCAGAATAAAATGTGCAGCTCAACTCTCCTGTTTTCACAAAAACTGTTCATCAGGAATTGTCACTTGTGCCAATGCCAAACGGTTTTAATGGTGGCATCTAGGGGGGTGTGACGAGACGCTTATTCCATGAGATGAGACACAGATTGGGTTCACAAAAATAAGGCGTGACAAGATTTTTATTTAAAAAATATGGAATTTTCAATGATGAAATGTATGAAAAGACATTAGTCTTTTATTTAACTGAAAAAAATCGCAAAATTCAAAAGTATGTAGGTGCTTTTTTAAAAAGCACCTTGTAATAAATGTTATTTTACTTCTATTTGAATGAATTCTATGCTGTAAAGGGCATGCAAACACTAAAATGTTTTGCTAATAATCGAGTGTAAAATAACATTTGCTAATATATGAATGGAAAATAGGCGACGTGGTGGCACAGTGAATAGTGCTGTCGTCTCACAGCAAGAAAGTCGCTGGTTCGAGCCTCGGCCGGTTAAGTTGGCATTTCTGTGTGGAGTTTGCATGTTCTCTCCGTGTTTGTGTGGGTTTTCACCAGGTGCTCCGGTTTCCCCTACAAATCCAAAGACGTGGTATAGGTGAGTTGGGTAAGCTAAACAAATTGTCCATAGTGTATGTGTGTGAATGAGTGTGTATAGATGTTTCCCTGTCATGGGTTGCAGCTGGAAGGGCATCCGCTGTGTAAAACGTGCTGGATAAGTTGCCGGTTTATTCGACCACAGATTAATAAGGGGAAGGAGTCGAAAAGAAAATAAATGAATGGAAAATAGATTTTATCCAACTGGAAAAAACTCACAAAATGCAAAACAATTTAGGCGCTTTATTAAATATACTTGTACTGAATGTTATTTTTCTTCTATTTTAACGAATTATCCTATAAAGGACAAGCAAAATATTTAGCTATAAACTCTACTGACTGGATAAACTCTGAGCTACTGGATGTGAGTATGGACTGATAGGAGTTGTTTTAATAGAATTTGATACCACACACACCGAATGGAAAGAAAGTTTTCTTTCGTCTCCAGGAGTTCACTGTGTGCGCGCACACGGAGGAGATTTGCGTGTCTTGGTGTTTTACTGACTCTGTGGGTGCAAAGAATAGTGTGAAACAGCCGTGTGTATATGGCTTATCTTGTTGTGAAAAATGTGGCTTTTGAATACGGCGTTTATTTCTCTGTAATGTGAAATAATGTGACTAAAATGGTTAGTAATGTGACTAAAATGGTAAGATTTCATGGGTTAATTCGATTTGTGTTTTAGACGATTATGACATAACCATGTCTAAAGTGCTATTCCATCGCTTGGTTAATTTGTGTGGTAGCAGTTGTAGCAGCCTTTGCTTTTGGACGCAGCAACCATTGAACTCTGGTGAAAAAAGCGATTACATCACACCCACCCAAGCAAATTAGTGTCGGGTTGCCAGGTGTGTGCAAAGCACTTCATTTGCAGTTCAAATCTAATCCTGCCTCCAATCATCAGTGCTAAATTCACCCTCACGCTCCATCATAACATCACAACTCACTAGACAACTTTTCACCTTGATTAGAAATCTCCCCTCGATTTAGTCTTGCAAGATCTCGTAGCCCAAGATCTCATCACATCCCTAGTGTCAGCAGCGAAAATCTTGGGCTGTGGACAATGTGAAACATGTATTGTTTGATGAGTCCATTGTCACTGTCTTTCCCAGACCAGGAAGAGTTAGGTTATGGAGAAAACCCTGTTCCATGCCCAGAGTAAAGCATGAGGGTAATTCAGTAATAGTTTGGGCTGCGATATCATGACATTCCCTATGCCCAATACTTGTGCTAGATGGACCTGTCACTACCAAGGACCACCAAACCATTCTAGGACCATGTGCACCCGATGATTCAAACATTGTATCCTGAAGTTTGTGCCATGAATCAGGCTAATGATATAGATAATGCACCAACACACACAGCAAGAATGGTGACGCAGAAGTGAACATCTGTCATGGCCTGCACAGTCACCAGATCATAATATTATTGAAGCTACTTTGGGGTGTTTTGGAGGAGTGAGTCTGTTTCCTTCACCAGCATCACGTAGTGGCCTGGCTACTGTTCTGTAAGAATAGCTCAAAAATTGTATCTGCCAATCTTGTATTTGTCATTCCGAAGAAGAAATGATGTTGTACTGGCTGCAAAAAGAGGCTCTACTACACCAAACTAATGAAATATTGTGGTCTAAAACCAGGCGTTTCATTTTCATTCTCCATAACCTGGATTTAATGTAAAATATTGCATAATATCATGACATTTTTATCAGTTTCTATATAAAGATTTGTTTGGACTGTATGTTTAGAAATCCAAGTTGTACAAGTATTTTTATACACAACCTAGGTAACCTACTTAGTTTGTTGACTCTTTTCTTTTGTTTGTTCTCCATATTAACGGCAGTGCAATTCATTGAAAGTTGATTTTCCTAAAAGCTTCAAACACACCTCATGAAAATCACCATCAGAACCATCAGCTTCATTATCAAGTTCAGTTTAGTTTAATTATTTTAAATGAAATATTGCTGTCTACCACCTA